CTCTCTCTCTCTCTCTCTCTCTCTCTCTCTCTCTCTCTCTCTTTGTGCACATGAGTTAGGTTGTTGAATTATAGTGATTTGAATTCCTAATTTCAACTCCTAATTAAATTTTTAAGTTAACGAAAGTCCTTTAGGGGACATTCTAGTAGTTAATAACTAGAGTTTTTATATTGAAAATCTTAGGGTCGAATTCTAAAATGGGTAAGGAGGAATTTGGAAAGGAGAGAGTTATTTCATATTGTATAGTTTATCATCTAACATATTAAAAAAATGTTTTTAAGTTAATAAATACTAATTTAACTAAACTTTTGTTAGGGATGTATCCCTCACTTGTAAATATATAATGGCAAAGCAGAAAGATAACGGTCCACCACAACCTGGAGTAGGCCTCAAAGCATCATCAAAGGTGCAGATTGGGCCCTCAAAGCAACGGTTTGGCCTGTAAAGCCCAACAAGTAAACCAAGTTGATATTGAAGTGCCGTTAAAGACAGAAATGAACTTAAGGGGGGCCTTCTTTTGACATTATTGGAAATTATTTAATTTCCCTTCGCATCAAGATTCCTTCATATTTTTTTTTTTTAACATCATCAAAAGACAGAAATGAACTTAAGAGGGGCCTTCTTTTAACATTATTGGAAATTATTTAATTACCCTTCGCATCAAGATTCCTTCATTTTTTTTCTTTTTTAACATCATCAAAGGAGAATTAGGAAAATCTTGATCTTGTCATGGGAAAGTCTCATATTTAGTATATTACAACGAAGTATACTAGTTAAATATAAAAAGGTGAAGTTGTTAGTTAAATATGAAAAAGGCTACTTCACCTATTGCTAGTTAGTTTTAGGTTGAATACAAATTTTGTATTAAAATTCACATGCACAATTTTTATATGATATCAATTTTCATATGTTATCAAAGCAAGCCTAGACTTCATTCTTGGAAAGTCACTTGTTAGCCTACCTGACATGAATTGAAGCTTATGCTCAGCTTGCATGTAAGGGAGTATATTAAGTCACGAGATAGGACATAATATTCATACTTGGCCTACATGTGAAGGGATGTGTTGAATAGAAAAATTATACATCGAGTATATAGCAAAGAAATATGTAAGTTAAATACTAAGAAAATTATTCCACCTATTACTAATTGGTTTTTTAATACAAGTCTTTTGTTGAAACCAAAATGCTCAATTTTCACATGTCTTAGTATTTTTAAATTATTTTAGTTTTGATATAAGTTTTATAGTTTGATCAATAAATAGCCACCACTAGCAACTAAACATGATCTATAAGAGTATTAGGTGAGTAATATAATTTTAAGGGTTAGATTCACTTGTACGTAATTAAGTGTTGTTTTATATGTCAAATTTAAGGTTCTTGAATGCACTAGGTTGATGAGAGGGATCTCTTTTTAAAATTGTCTATAAAGGGACTAATATTGAGATGCATGCTAGGTGGCCCTAGGACACCCTAACCATAAAGAAAAAAAAATTATATATATATATATATATGAGGTGGGGGATACATTTAATTTGGAATACTACCGTTTCTAGATTCACCTGGAACCAGCATTATGCATGCATTCCATGTATCATGCCTAAAACGAGTTGGTCTTGCCATATTTGGCACATGTTTCGCGAAGGGGAACTTTCATATATTCAGGGAATCATTTTTTCCCGTAGTTTCTTTTTAATAATGATGATTTTATATCGACTACTGCAAAATTAGAAGAGATATTTAGCTTTAAGAGTTAAATTTACTGATAAATAAGTATAATTTTGTATACTAAATTTAAAACTTAAATTTTGAGATTAATACTTAAAAAATTAATTTTTTTGCGCCACATTAATGTGGTGGGTGTGCTTTGAAAATCGTCTATAAAAAAATTAATTTCAAAGTATACCAAAGTTAATTGGAAGCAACTTGATTGTGAATATTAAAAAAAGTAAAAAAAGGAGATTTTGTGTGAATCGTTTTTGAAGAGAAGCAATGCACAATCTATGTCTCTCTCTTTTTTCTTTTTTCTTTTTTTTTTTTTCCTTTTTCTTTTTTTTGGGTAAACACACAATAAATGCACTAAACATGAAGAACAGTCATTCAACAAATTTGAGGCTGAGTAAAGATAGCGCACGTACGTAGGATTAATAATCTTCTTTACTTTTTGGAGGTGCATATCATGCATATTCGGAAGGCATTTTTGGTTATATCCCCGATTCAGTCCCTCAACTTTCATTTTTGAACTAAAACTACCCTTAAACTTTAAAAAGTACTAAAAAAATCCTTGAACTTCAATTTTTGGGACCAATTTCGTCCTTCCGTCGAAGAAAGTGCCAGATGGCACGTTAAGTTGCCACGAAATTAATTTTTGTTTGAAATCTTTAATTACGTGGAAAATAATTTAGTTCACGTCATTTTAATTAATTTATATATTAAAAAATTTAAAATTCCTTAAATACCCCATCGTGCAACCCCTCGTTACTCCGGTCATCCCTCATTACTCCGGTCATCCTTCATTGCTCCGATCACAAATCTGGTTCCTCGCACAATAATAATACCCAATAAATCTGATTCAAAAAATCAATTTCTCTACAAATGTATACCAGATCTGTAAAGAAAACACAACATTCCTTCAATCAACACTGACAGCAACTAGATCTGAAAATTCAAGTAATCAGAAGCAATACAAAACTCTAAATCCCATTCAAGCATGCAAGCCAACAAAGAAACACAACAAAAAATACCCAGGCGGATTCGACTCAAACCCAGGCGCTGGGTTCGGAACCCAGGCGTCGAACCCAGGACGCCTGGGTTCCA